GCCAGTACAGGAGACTGACTCTCGTGGTGCCCTCAGATGGCTGCCTCCCCAGGTATGTGAACATTCAGCTGCCCTTGTCTCCCTACACAACTAGGAAACATCTCCCCTCCATCCTGGGTCATCACCTAGTTCCTACTCACTTAAAATCAGAGTAAATTAGAGGCAGGAAAGGCCTTGGAATCCACTTGTGGTCCTGATTCCATTCCCCTCCAAACTTCTCAAAAAAAAAAACCCACCCCTCAGTCTATTCCCTTTCTTTCCTCTTCAATCTCTAATCACAGACTCTTTCACACGTACACATACACACACATACATGTACAACCACACAAATATACATACATCCCTACATGTATACATACATTTACATGCACTGACTAACATGCCCAGATCTCCCCAATTCTTAAACTTACCCTTGACCCAGTCATTCCCTCAAGTTATCATTAAATATCCCTTCCCACCATCAGATACGAACTCCAAGGAAGGACTGTCTACACTTGCCTCCATGTCCTTGCCTCCCATTCCATTTTACTGCTCTTGCAGTTCTGACCCCACAACAGGACTAGAACTCCTCTCCCCAAGATTATCAGTGGCCTCTTCATTGACAAATGCAATGTCTTTCCTCACAGTCTCCATCCTTCTTGAATATCCTCATGAAGGTGTTGGCCCCATTGACCACCTCTCCCAGGACAATTCTCTCTCAGAGGCTCTCCTCCTTCCTATCTAGCCACTCCTCAGTCTCCTTTGTTGGACCTTTATCCATGCCATCAAGCCAACTGTGAGCATTCCTCAGGCTCGGTCCTGGCCTCTGTCCCCTTCTCTCTCTTTACTCTCTGCCTTCTGATCTCACAAAGGCACAGGAAAACCAGGTTCTACCATCTAAGTAAACTGGGCCAAGTCACTTCCCCTATCTGGGCCTCAGTTTTCCTGCTTCTCAAATGTGGGGGGTCCTCAGAATTACAGCATCCTCAAGTTTGAAAGGACCTCATGGGTCACCCTCTACAGCCCACACTTGAAGCATAACTGTGTCATAGTCTTTGGGATTAGACCTATGTTCCAGCCTCTAGGGCCCCACTGAATACACAAAGAGAAAAGGCCAAGCATCAGGCTCTTGGTTTCTTCATTCCTGTAGGGTAGTCACCAAGCACCAACACCTTTCACTCTGAGGCAGGAAGCTACCCCTTGGGGAGCACCAGGGCTCCACAGACACTGGGAGAGTGGCTTTGACAGTCAGAAGCATTAACGATTGCCAGTGGGTGTTTTTTTAGACAAGTTTCTCCCCCTCACTTCATTGGCATTAGGGGCTCAGCAGCCCAGCCGTGAAGTGCTAAACAGGTAGCAGGAACAGGTCACTGACCTTCTTTCTTGGGAGGCAGATGAGACATCTTCCTGTGGAGAGTGCCAAGCACTTAATCACTCATAGACACAGTCATGAGTCAACGCAAGATGCTCTGGTGTTTTATGACTTCATGGAAGCTGGCCACATTAACGGCAGGCTCTAAAAGTAACACTACCTATTTTCTCCCACCTAATGAGCACAGCAGCAAGCAGCCCCAGTAATATCTTTCTAAGAGCCCCAAGTGTTCTGTGTAAATACACGCGCCATCTTAGTTAGGAGAATCATTCAATTTTGGCTAATACAGTACACTTTATTGTCTCATCAATGAAATAAGGGTGATTATACCTGCTCTGCCTACTTCACTAGGTTGGCAGGAGTATATACAGTTTGGGGAACTAGAAAGGACCTCAGATATCATCTACCCAAAATCCCCATTTTGCAGATGAGGAAACTGACACCAAGAGAGGAGAAGGGATTCAGACACCAGTACCCAAGGAATAGCAGAGCCAGGATTCAAACCTGCATCCTCCTACTCCAAAACCAGGGGACAGAAAGGCCACAAATGATATGTCCAAAAGGAATCTAGGAAGCATTGCTAAACATTCCCAGCAAAAAACTAAAGAACTTAGGGGTGATGTTTATGTTACTGTGGCCAATCAAAGGCAATAAATTCAGAAGGGAAAGGTTCATTTCAGAAGTGAAGAAGATGGTGTCTGAGAACTGGTTTAATGTATAGGCATGATACTATTTGCTATTTTTTTCTTCTGTTGTTTTTTGTTTCCTCTTTCTCGTGGTTCCTCCTATTGGTTCTAATTTTTACTTACAACATCACTAATGTGAAAATATGTTTAATAGGAATGTATATGTATAGCCTGTATCAGATTGTGTGCTGTCTTGGGGAGGGAGGTGGAAAGGAAGAGGGAAAAAATTTAAAACTCAAAACCTTATGGAAGTGATTGTTGATAATTCAAAATAAATTAATTTTTCAAAAAACATAGGCACAGCAGCCTCCTGGCCAGGGAAGAAGTGCCCCTAACAAGGGCTGGTAAGAATAGATTTGTGTAGCACCTTGCAAGTCTAATTTCAAAGCCTTTAACTGAACAGTAAACTACCTATGGACACACATACACACACACACACACACACACACACACACACACATCCAAATAACATAGAGAAGAGCTGCAAGATAGAAAGAAAAGTGGTAGAGACACCCCAAAATTTTTAAAGCACAAAATCTAAAAAAAGAACCAACAAAAACACCCAAATGGCTTCCTTTGTCTAGAAATGTACAGAGCATGAGTGCATCAAATATCCATATGGAAGGCAGCAAATATGACTTCATCTAGTAGGTTTGACTGTGTTTTGGTAGAATGAGATCATGACTAGAATGTGGCTCTGGAAGGGTATGCCTTCTTCAAAAGAAAAAGGTCAGAGGGGCAGCTAGGTGGCACAGCAGATAGAGCACCAGCCCTGAAGTCAGGAGGACTTGAATTCAAATCAGGGCTCAGAGCAAACACTTGACACTTACTAGCTGTGTGACCCTAGGCAAGTCACTTAACCCCAATTGCCTAAAAGCAAAACAAACAAACAAACAAAAGAAAAAGGACAGGAGGGCTTGAGTGCTGATGGGCCAGCATTGTATATTAAGAAGGTATACTCATAAAAATAATTTCAAATAATTTAAAATTTTAAAAATATATACTCATATGATCAAATCCAGGAGATAGAGAAAAGGAACACAGTGCAAAGCATTCAAGGAAAAATCAAGGGAGGCAGAAACAGAAGCAAGGCTGTCATCAGAATATGCTACAGCCCACCTGGTCAGAGAGAAGAAAGAGATGAGGAATTTGTGAAACATGCCACAATCCTAGCTTGAAGCAATGGTAGAATAAGGAAAGGGGCTTCAATGGTCTAGGCATCTTCTAGATCTCTGCCCAAAGTAGGACAAGGAATAGTTTTCTGAATAGATGGCTAATTATCTCATCCTTCGAACAGTCGTTCCTTCCAACCAGGGAAACTCTAATTATGGTACTGAGTCTAACCAACAAGAAGAAAGGGATTTCTCGGGCGCAAATGGTAAGAACCTTGCTGGGAAATGATGATTCCACTTTAGAATTTGTGAAAGAGGAGACAGAAGCTAAACATAGTTTTTATGCTCCCTGGATTTTAGAAGAGTCATTTTCAAAGGTTGAGGGAAAGGAATGATATTATCTATAGAAATGGATGTGCATGCATAGGGCCTTCACCAACTAATATAGGTTTAAAGACACATACAGAGAATGGAAGGAAAGGCACTCAATGGAAGACACATATAACGTAAACGCACAACATACACACTCACAACGTGTCATCATTGGGAGAGCAGAGTTCCTGGCACTGGCACATAGCGGACACTTTAAATGTTTATTGACTGATAGTGTCAGGAGTGCTAAAGCTCAAAATGAGTTGAGGCTGGTGAAGAAAGCCGTGGAAAAGAAATAGTCATTTTTTAAATTACATTGGAGAAAAAAAGAAAACGAGAGACATCAAATAAGGGGCGGGACTATGATCAAGATGAGCATGGAATCATAGTAAGAATTCAATCAATAAACATTGATTAAACATTTACTCTGTGCCCGGCACCGTGTTAAGTGCTAGAGATACAAAAAGGAGCAAAAGACCTAGTCCTTGCCCTCAAAGAGTTTACAATCTAAGGGGGAAGACAACATACCAACCAATATGTATAAAACAAGCCTATCTACAGGATAAATGGGAAACAATTAGCAGAAGGGATGCAATGGAATGAAGAAGGGTCAGGAAAGGCTTCCTGTAGAAGGCAGAATTCTAATTGGAACATGGAGAAAATCAGGGAGGTCAGTAGTCAGAGCAGAGGAGAGAGAGTGTTCTGGATGTGGAAGACAGCTACAGGGCATGCCTGGAGCCAAGAAATAGAGCCAGTTAAAAGTGAAAAGAAGGAACTGATCACTCTCTGCTTTTCCTTTCCATTCCAAAGAGAAGGAGCTACCAACTGAGGCGGGGAAAAAAAGAGCATGAATGGCTAGATGGAAATCCAAACGCAGTGGTATGAAAATGAGCTGGGACAAAGTGAAATGACTGACTAGACCGACTGCATTCTTACAACTTTTTACATCTCTAAAGAACTTCTCACATGTAACCAGTCACTTGTTCAGAGTGGAAAGCCTTCAGGGCTGCTACAGGGTCTTCCATTCTTCATCATGAAACCCAACTTTGATCACATCTTGGATGGACAGTAAGTCTATTTTCCAGGTCTACCTCTCATGAGAGCCCACAGGTTTTCAGTGGGGTTTAAATCAGGCAAGTTCTCAGACCACTGAGGCATATCTACCTCTATTAATTTCTTAACCTCTCACAAGGTGGGTCATCATGGTACAAGTCCATGTTACAGAATTCCATCCACGAAGTCTGCTTCTCAGTAGATCCATATAGTTATGAGAAATCATCTTTTTCACAATGGAAAAAAGACTTCCAAGTCCACTGGAAATAAAAAATATCCCCCTAAACATTTTTTGAAATGGATGTTTTACTGTCTTGGGAAAATGCCCAGATTTCATAGATTCACTCAGACTTCTTCTGAAAATGATAATCATAAGTAAAATAAACAGCTAGCATTTATAAAACTTTTTAAGGCATGCAAAGAAAACCATTTTACATGTTACTTTATTTGACCCTCACAACAACATCACTAGGCAATTTCTATTATGATCCTATTTTATAGGGAATTGAAGCTGAAAAGGTGATGTGACTTGGTCAGGGTCATACTGCTAGTAAGCATTTAAGGCAGAACATGAACTCAGGTTTTCCTGACTCCGTGACTTCTGCTCTATCCACTGTACCCCTTAGCTGGCTAAAACACACAGCCGAGGATGGTTGTGATACATTGACCTCTGGGTTATAGCTCCAGGCAACAGTTTTTGGCACACATTTCATCAGTAAAATGATCTTTTTCCACTCTTCGGTACTCCAGACTTTCTATTGTCTTACCATGACACACATTTTTTCTTCATAGCAACAGCTGGCATTTCTTTGTCTTCTCCATTTTCCTCCAGCTTCTGGAAGCTTGTACCACACTGTGAAGGAGTCCAGGTTCCAGCGCTGTCTGAGGGCATTTGTCTGGATTAGCATTAATCAGGCTGGTTTGAAGCACTAATTCGTCTGTTCTTGTGGGCCCTTTTCATTTTTAGCCTCATATTCCTTTGTGCTATCCTGTTTGCTTGTAGGCTTTAATGATCCATGAAATGCCTGAGCCTACACACACACATACACACACACACACACACACACACACACACACACACACACACTCCAACACTGAAATATCCTTAGTCATTTGAATTTGAGTGTGACAATTGAACTGTGCTCTTTGAGAGATATAACATTTCTACATTTCCCTAAAGCAATATCTAATCTTTAAAAAAAAAATCACAGGATTAAAAACACAACAGAAATTAAAAGTACACGTGTATGGCATAAAAGAAGAGTAACCAACAGTGGGGAAAGCAACCCAATCCAGTTTCACCTGGTCTGGGTCAAATTGGAGTGAGAGAAGCAGATATATATCACTACTGCTGTCACAAACTGACCCCATATCAACATTGCTGCTTGTTCTAAGTAATCTGGACAGCCCTAGAAACACAGAGATGGTATGAAAGCATCTAACTATTTTTAAGGAGTCTGAATCAGACAGACTAAACACCCTGGACTGAATGAGCTGAAGGGACTAGCCAATGGGATCGCTGAACATAAGAGTGGCCTTGAAAGGTTGTGGAGAGCTGGAAAGGTATAGAAGGACTGGAAAAGAGCAGGTGTTTCTCTGGTTTTCAGAAAGGCCAAGAGAATACTCTGGAGACACTTGAGATTGGAAAACTGGATCTGACCGAATGGCTACACCCAAAAACTTGTCACGAGTGGTTCTAAGTCACCAGGGGAGAAGAGTTCTCTGACATTCTCTCCAAGACCAAGCCCTGAAGGAGCCAAGACACCCCAGGGGCCATGCTGTTCTGATCGGGGATAGGCCAATGTGTCTAGCTAGCTCCAGATCCTGGACATGTTTCACCTTAGCCATCTCACCACCCACCTTGCCTGCTTCACCCCCACCACCACAACCTCTGGCTCTGGGAACAATCCTTAAATCAATGCTGCCACTGATTCTAGACAGGAGAGGTCCATCATGTGAATCAACTGCCCTATGACTCCTACCTTGTGACTTCCCAGACCGAACACCCCTCCCAGGCCCACTCCTCCCTATGGGTAGGCTTTGCCATTTGAATGTAAGCTTCTGGAAGACAAGGACTGTCTCACTTTAGTAGCTGTGTCCACAGTGCCTGGCACGTAGTCAGTGCTTGACAAAAGACCCCAAACTGCTTGTAACGATTTGGATAGGCATAGCTATTATGCTGATGGCATTTTTAGGTGACCAAAAGTAAGGGCAGACAGCTAATAGAGTGCCAACATTCTGAAACCCAAAAGATCCTGACACTCTAGAACATTTGGCTAAATCTAGCATGACGAAACTTAATGAAAAGAAAGGGAAAGTCATAATTGAGTTTAAATGTCCAACTTCACAACTATAAAATGAGGAGGCTTTGATAAACAGGGTTAGTGGACTGAGAGCTCAACATGCATCCACATTGTGCCATGGTGCCCAAAACTAAAAAAATAAACTAATGCCACCTTGGGTTTCATTACAAGATGTAGTATACAAGACTTTATTACCTTAAACCATTTGCAAGGTAGCTGTCATCCAAGCTTGAGTTGGGAGTGTGGGGCTCAGCTGAGATGATCAGAAAAGCAGAATAAAGGAGGCAAGAACGAGGGCTAGACCCCAGTCCCTTCCCTGTGAAGACTTGGATGAGATAATCAGTGACAGCAACACTGAGAAGGGTAGGGTCAAATGGCCATTTTTACTGAGAGAGATTTGAGTTTGTGGAGAAGAGGGATCCAGTCATGTCCTCCATTCTCTCCATTCTCTCCCCCATCCCTTATGTTCCCTGTCCTCTCCCTGTCCTGGGCACCTTCATTCAATGCCTGCCCTGTCCCTCCCCTCACCACTGGCTGCAGGTCAGGTCTCAGGATGGATTTCACAGTCTTTAGCTGTCTGGTGGCTTTTCTTTGCCCCTTCTTCAGGATCCCTCCCTAATCAGTTCTTTGTAAATACTAGGGATAGGATGCAGAGAACATACCCTAACAGTGTTCTGAATCCAAATTAATTGAATGAAACCTAATGAGCATCGATGTAAAGTCTTACAGCTGAGTATGAGAAATAAACTTCACAAGTACAAGAGAAGGGATATTTCTCTGAAAAAAATCTGAGCTTGTTAGTGGATTGAAAACTCAATATGAGTCAACTGTGTGAAATGGCAGCCAAAGAATGTAACACCATCTCGGACCACACTCGCTAAGGGCGGAGCGGCATACAGGATGAGGGAGATACCAGGCCAGGTGGGCTTGGCCTTCCCTTGTCAGACCTCACCTGGAGCATTGTGGGTCATTCTGGGCACCACATTTTAGGAAGGCCACTGATGAGCTAGAGAGGAGCCAGAGGAGGGCAGCCAGGATCGGGGAAAGCCTGGAGATGATGCCAAGAGAAGGTCAGAGGATTTCAGATTTGGAAGGGAGTCCAGAAGCCATTGAATCTGACCCCTGACTGAAAAAGGCTCCACTCTGCTATATGGATGGAAAGTGGTCTCTGCTGAAGTACCCTATGTGAGACCTGGGTCTTGAAAGGAACACAGGGTGTTCAACCCAGACACACTTGGTAGCCACCCAAACCAGATGGTGCCATCTAACTGGGCCTTGCCCATTCAGTACCTGGGAAGCTAACTTGGGGGGGAAGGGGGAGAGGACCTGAGAGCTGCCTTCAAGTATCTGAAGGACTACAAGGTGTAAGGGGCAGTAGGACCATTCTGCGTGTCCCTGGAGGACAGAACCAGGTACCACTGAAGGAAGCTATGAAAAGCCAAAGCTAGGCTGGGTATGAGGAAGAACTTGCTGACAATGAAAACTGTTCCAGTGTGGAGCATGCTGGCTCTTGGGAGGGAGTGGGTTTCCTCTCACCAGAGGTCTCTGAGCAAATACTGGCTCTATTGTAGGGGAAATCTCTTCCGGTTTAGTTTGGACTAGGTGGCTTTGGTAATCACTTCATGTTCTGGAATCCATGACTCCTGGGGTCCAATGGGTGGCTAGGAATAAAAACCACAGTGAGAGGAGTGTGGCTGAGCACCTCTGGGGTTGGGCATCTGCTGGAGGAGGCTGCCCTTGCCCCAGAGAGCCCAGCACAAAAGCGGCGGGGAGTTGGTGAGAGAGAGGGCTTAGTCACTGGAGGGGAATCCACTGGAGGCTTACCAGGACCCAGAGGGGGAGGTTCTGGTTCTTCCCTCAGCATCTCCGGAGGCCCAGGAACAGGAGGGTGAGAAAGAATAAGCCAGTGGCAATGAAGAACCCCATGGATGCTCCTGTTTCTGTAGACAAGAGGAACGTGGGTTGGGGAGAGCCCGCCAGAGTACCCCCTTGCCCCACCATCTCTGGCGGGGAGCTGTGGAGAGAAGGCTTCAGGGCAGCCTGGTCTTTATGCAATGTGTGCCTAGGCCTTGAAGGGAAAACCAGAGCAGGTGAGACAGGAGAGGAATGAAACCCAGGCCAGACCTGAGAAGAGAGAAAGGACGAAGAGCCCTCAGGACGGCCAAAAGCACCCCCCAAGGCAGACCTCAGGAGAGGGGAGAGATGAAGCCCCGACCCTTCTGTACCTGGAGGGGCAACCCACATCTCCAAGATGACTGGCTCAGGCAGGGAGACGTGGGAGACGTGGCATCTGTACGTGGCCCCCTCGGGGCCAGGCTCTGCCCTCAGAGAGGAGGAAAGGCTGTAGGTGCCTGCACCGCCCTGCCGGTGGCTGGAGAAGTAGGCACCAGAGGCCGGGGCTGGGGCGCCACCAGGCTCCTCCCGGCTCCAGGTCACGGCCACATCCAAGGGGTAGTAGCCAGCAATGGTGCAGAAGAGGGTGGGGGGCAGGGCCTCCTTCACCAAGTTCAGCTGCACTTTAGGGGTCTCTGAAGGGAAGAAGCCAAGGGGAGACAGGTCTGAGGAGGTGGAATCTGCCCTCCCCAAGCTGGAAGGGATCGGAGGAGACTGAACTATGCTGCCTTCTCCCTTGTTAGGATGGGGTGCAGGGAAACCAGGAAGCAGTGCCTGGCAGGTGAGGGTGTGGTCCACCTGGCACCCAGGTGTCATTATATATTAAGGAGGACCATGACGTCAGGGAGGCGACCGCGTGACTTGACAGTGAATTGGACTGAAGTGAGGGAGGGCTGATAACCAGCACTTTCTAAGGGCATTTCCCAGTCTGCTGTTGAGAGGCCACGGCCTTGGAAGACAAAGGAAGCTCGAGCCCACCCACTGCCCCAAGGGCTCCAGGCTCACCCAGGATGCTGAGGTGAATGATCTGCTGAGCTTGGTGTTGGGGAGTGGAGATTTGGCAAATGTAGGTTCCCTCGTCCCTCAAGGTCAGGCCTGGCAGGGTGAGGGAGGCGTTCCCAGCCTCCAGCAGCAACCTGGACTCCAGCCTCGCCCCCTCCCGCAGAGCCTGCCCCTTCCCTGAGGCCCAGGAATACACCCTCTGGCCCTGGCCCTGGTGCTGCCGCCTCCATTCAAGGTGAAACGGGCCAGAGCCAGGGGCCATGGAGAAGCTGCAGTGCAAGCAAGCAGAGGCCCCGAGGGAAGACTGCACAAATGGTTTCTGTGTCATCACCTGTAACTCCACTGTGGGAGAGAAAAAGGATCTGTGAGTGTTTGTGGGCCACAGCCTCGGGAAAGGCTGGAGCTGGGGGGGGGGGCATTCCTGAGTGTGCCCTGGGGGTGGGGAGGGGAGGCCAGGGTCCCTGCCTGAGTGTGCCCTGGGGGTGGGGAGGGGGAGGGGAGACCAGGGTCCCTGCCTGGGTGTGCCCTGGGGGTGGAGAGGGGGAAAAGAGGCCAGGGTCCCTGCCTGGGTGGGGCTTAGGGGGTGGGGAGGAGCTTGAATCAAAGAGAGAAATGAGCTGGTACTGCAGAAGAATAAAGTCAAGGAGGCCTGAAGGAGCCACTGACTTCCCTCTGGGGACCCACTGGGGACAGTGGCCCGCTGGTCTGGTCCAATCTGATCTAGGGGATTTCCTGTGTGGAGGCAGGGGCCTGACAAGGTGGACACTGGCCCTCATGCTCTGTGCCCTATACTGGAGTGTTGACCAAGGGAGGCCTGAGATTCAGCTAGTGGAAGGCCCACCAGTGCAGGCCTAGGAAGGCACAGAGCCCACCTGAGGCAGGACCAGGAGGGGTCCTGAGCTTGAGATGCTCAGAATACCAGCGGGGTCAGCCAGAGGCCCAGCTGACAGCAGATGCCCCACACTGACAGGGCTGGGCTGAGGCCCCAGGAGGGGAGGGCCTTCCCCTGCCTACAGAGGGGGAGAAGACAGGCCCCTGAGGGAGGTGGCAGGTATAAAATCCACTGTCTCCTGCAAACTGAAGCTTCCTCACCTGAAGCCAGCACTGTCCCCTGGGGGGTCAGGGGCAGGTTCAGCTTGGGATGCAAGGAAGCCCCCTTCTCTGTCCCTCCAAGGGTCTTTATCACCATGGAGACACTGAAGGCTCCCTCAGACACCTGAATGGTACTGATGAAATAGGCCACATCCGGGGAAGTGGCCTCCTGTCCAGCCTTGTTGAGAAGAGTGAGCTCACAGGTCACCAGCTTCCCTTGGCAAGTGGCATGGAGCAAAACCTCAGCATGAGGAAGTTGCACCCGGTCCACTGTGAGGAAGGAAGAACAAGATGCAGTTACTGGGGCAGGGCCACCTGGGAAGGTGGGGGAAAGGCTGGGAGGCCTGAGGCACAGACCAGGGTTAAGGAGACAGCCTCATGGGCACTCCGGGATGGAGCAGGGTTGGACAAGGGTCCTAAAGCTCTCACCAGAGGCCTCCAAAGAAATGGGGGTGTCTCCCTTGGCCACAGGGACCCCTGGGAAGTCGGTGATGCTGTCCAGTGTGCCATCATCCAGAACCGGCACCTGCTTCAGCACCAGGGTGGCCTGGGCCTCGTTCAGCTGGCTGGCAGAGACGCCCCAGCCATGCTCGTCCTCTTTGACCAAGACGCAGTCCAGGACCAGATCGACCCCTCTGCGGAGCCCCCCAGACTCATCCAGCTCTGCAGAGGGAAGAAAAGGTGAGCATCCTCAAAGCCGCTCTTCCTGCCCACCGCCATTAAGCTGCTCAGTGTGCTGTCCCCAGCTCCACAAACGCTAGTAGCTCCCTATTACCTCTAGGGTCAAATAGAAAACTCTGTCTGGCTTCTGGCACCCTCTGGCGCGCGCGCGCGCGTGCGCGCACGCACACACACACACACGTCACTCATCTCCCGCTTTTTCCTTCGGGACTCAGCTTGAATCCTGACTTCTGTCCGAGGACTTTTCTGACCCAGCAGCCGGTGCCCCAGACCTCCACTCCACCTTGTATTGATTGCCTACATACAAATGCATGTTCATATTAGCTCCCATGTTGAATGGGAACTCCTTGAGGGCGGGCCCTGGTTCACTTTTGTCTCAGTATCCCCAGGGCACACCCCCAACCCCAGCACAGAGCTGGGGCTCCAACACCGCCTTCCGGCTGGTTGACCGCAGTGAGTCTCTGTGGTAACCCAAAGCGGAAGAACGAGGGGAGACAGGACCTGGGGCGGGGAAGATCTAGGCTTGGAGGTTGGGGGTCACAGGGCTGGGGAAAGGGAGAGCTTGGAAATATGGTCCTTCCCAAGGCCAGGGGCACAGAGTGCCTCTTCTGAGACATCCTTCCTGCCTCCCCACCTTCCACCTGTAGCTAGCTCTTTCCCTCAGCCCAGCCCAGTCCAGCCCTAACCCTCAGTCACGGTATGGCGATGGCAGCCCCACCCCCACCCTCACCACCGACCCCCACCGCTTCCAATAAACCAGGTCTGCGCCTGCACGGCTACAGCGGAGGTCCGCTGGGATCCGTACCCCGCATCGCGGCCAACCTCTCCAAGGGGACCTGTCTCCCCCAAGCGCTCGCGCGCGCATACACTCACACACGCGCACACACACACACACACACACACACACACACACACACACACACACACACACCGCGTACTGCCCTGCTCAGCCTCCCAGGCCGCTGTCCTCCCCTGCCCTTCTCAACCAACTCCCTGTAGTCGAACTCACCGGCCCAGGTGGCCCCCGCCCAGCAGAGGAGAAGCAGAGCGCGCAGGCCCGGGGCGCCCATGGGCTCCGGGAGCGTCTGGTCCTGGCAGTCAGGCCCCGTTTATCTAACAGTCTGATCGGTCTGTCTGTCCGGGTCCGGGCCCGCCGCACCCCACTCCCGCCCTCTCCCACCCCGGCTCTCTCTCTCTCTTTGCCCCAGCCGCAGTTTCTCTTTCACTTTCACTCTCCTTCCGGACAGAGGCAGCTGCCTGGGGGAGGGAGAGAAGTGGGGCAAAGGATGCTGGCGCCCCTCTCCTCCTGCCTGGCCCTTCACTTCCTTCAGCCCTATGTGGAGGGGTGGGGAAGGGCTTGGGAGCAAGAGTCCCCCCACCTCCTCCCAGACTGAGCCTGCTGCGGGGCTGGAGTGACCGGCAGCCGGGTCCCAGAGAGAAGATGGGAGCTGGGGGTTAGGAAGGGAGCCCTTGGAGGGGTCCTGGCGAATGAAAGGGACAAAAGACAGGGAAGTTGGCTACCCAGGCGGGACTGGCAGGCTCTGAGGGCCCTTCCTTGCTCCAGGTTTCCAAGTTTTTCCAGGTCAGTGACCCAGTAGTTGGGACCTACCTGCCCCGGAAGCACATGGCCAAATCCCTCTCAATCCCTGAGAAAAAGGCCACAGAGGCTCAGCAAGTGTCCTCTGCCTTCTTCCCCAGGCCTTTTCCTTTAGTTTCTTCAGCCGAATATGCAGGGGCGGATTTAGGCTGGATGTCAGGAAAACCTTCCTGGTGAGGGGAACAGAAAGTGTGCAGAGCCAGGCTGAGCCAGGCTGGGCTGCCCCTAGATGGAGACGTTATTAGTAGTGAGTCTTTGGGGGTATGTATTGAAGGAACTAGCCTGGGCATCCTTTCCGGAGAGGAAATTCTGGGCATATGGGAATCCCACAAGTCAGAAGCCCTGCCAGAGGCCAGAGGCCCTGCCAGCTGCCCAAAGTCTGCCCTGGCTTTCTGTGCTTTGCGTAGTCACAGGGTCTGCTCCTGATTGGCCCTGGGAGGCATGGCAGGGCAGTTTCCCTCAACTGCAGTGGAGAGAGAAAAGGCTCTAGGGAGGTGAAGGGAGAGATAGTAAGTGTGATGAGGAAGGGAAAGTAAAGGAACGGGACCCAGAGACCATGGTAAGGTATCAGAGAGAAAAGGGCTAGAGGAGAAGCTGAAAGGAAGAAGAAGAAAAGATGAAGTGAGGAGAGAAGGGAGCTCAGGGCAAGCAGCAGGAGAAGAGGGGACCAAGCTGGGGGCAGGGGGAGATAGGAGGCAGAGGGTAGGTAGAGTCAGGATAGAGGAAGAGGGGAGGGCCAGGATGTGAAAGAAGGGAGCAGGGGCAAACCAGGGAACAAGCTTTGGAACAAGGCCTGTCCCAGGTGGTACTTGCATCGTGTGACTCAGGGACCGAGGAAAGGAAAGTCCCACTGTCCTCCCCATCAATGCCAATTAGAAAGGTGGGCACGGCCTCCCCTGCAGAGAGGAAGCATTCTATCTGCCGCCCCACACAGTTCATTGGGCTCTGTTCTGAAGGCCACTGTTTAAGGACATTGCTAGAGAGAGGATCCAGGAGTGTCATGTCAATAAACAAGTAAGTGTCTCCCATGGGCCAGGCCCCATGCTGAGTGCAAGGGATACAAAAAGGCAAAGACGGTGCCCACCCTGGAGTCAGGGAGACAGCCTGCAAACAGGGTAAAGGAGCAGCCCTCCAGGCCTGGAGAGGCTGCCTGATGAAGGAGGGATGGGGCGTGGTCTGTTCAGCCCCGGAGGGCAGAGGCAGGAGTGGAGGGACCATGGGTCAGGAACACTTTCTTAATTCTTTTGCACTTCACAGGGGAGATGGACTGCTTCAGGAGGTGGCTGGTTCCCCCCCCCCAACATGTGTATTAAAGCCAGAAGGGACTGAAAGAACATTGAGTCCAACCCCCATTCTACAGATGAGGAAACTGAGGCTCAGAGACATGAAGGGATTTACCAGGGTCCCACAGAAAGTTGGTCTCAAAGACAGGATTGAAACCCATTTCTGTCCTCTGTGCCGAAGCGGATGATGACCACGTTTAGAAGGAATCTTCCAAGGAGAATGGGTTGCTGAGCTACTCTCTGAGGCTGCTTCCAAACAGACCTTCTGACCCTATAAGGACCTGAGCATCGATAGGACAGTGCAGAAGTTCCCGAACCCTGGGGAGCCCCTGACATGAGGGCCCAGCTCTCCTTGGTGCCTCCCTTAATCTGGCCAGTGGGGGGTCACAAAGCTGTTTCCCTGATGGCCTGCAGCTGTCTGGAGGTTAGTGCTTCAGTGTCAACAGGCAGCAGCCCTGGGAGATGTCCTGTTTTTCTAGGCCTTGCCCATCATGCATGGGGCTGCAGAGATGTGGTCAACTGCAGAAAACACCTTGGGAAATCTCCTGGGTCCTGGGCACTCGGGCTGGGAACTGGGTTTAGAACTGCCCAGGAGGAGACCTGAACCCCCAACACTGTCTGGCAGCTTCATCTCCACAGCCTCAGGCTCTTTGTGCAGGCCCATCTGATCCATAGTCCACACTAAGCTCAAACCTGCATTCAGCAGCACCTCTTCCCAAAGACAGCGGACCCTCAGGATCCAGAAAAGGGAGTGTCCTTAACAAGTGCCAGGGAAGCCCCTTGGGCCTCCCTATGTACAGTGGGTGCAGGCATCTGCCCCTGAGCCATCAGGCCCAAGGATATGGGTGAGCCGCTCACAAGCACCAAGCCAGAAAATCAGGCCTCCATTGAGAGCAGCCAGGGATCCCAGGCCCACAAACTGAGGTCAGCTCCAGGCAGGGCCTTCCCACCTCAGCCAACCATGTGTAGAGTGCATTCAGGCTGGCCACCTTTGCTGCAAGCCACCAACCTCCTCTGGAGGAAGCATGATTTTCAGGGCATCCACCAATTCCTTGCTAATTTAAAAGGCTCGTTTGAAGATGCTCAGAGCAACGAGAGAATGTCATGGCCATCCGCTCTTGGCAAGGGCGCTTCCCCTTTGCGTAGTCCTGCTCTTTTCCCCTTCCAGATAGGGCCCCATTGGTCCAGCTGTAAGGCAATCCCCTTCACAAGCTCTGAGCACGTTCCTTGCTCCCTCCATGCCAGCACTGAGGAAGGTGTCACTCCCAAGCATCAGTCAGGGCTGCTTCCAAGAAAGGCAGGCAGGCTCTGACAGGTATTGATGGAGGACTACTGTTTCTAAGCTCTCAGTCCTGCCAAAAAGTCAAGGGAGAGAGCCAGAAGGTGAGCAAGGCCCAGCACCCTAATTGTCAAGTAGATGAGAAAGGCCATGGAGGCTGGCCCAGGTCAGGAGCAATCCTAACAGGAGAGAGACATCTTGTTTGGAGAGTTAGCCAAATCCGCCGGAAAGGTGATGGTATTTCTGGGCTTCTCCCAATAATGAGGAGAACCTTTCTAAAGAAACAGCCAATCACAAAAACACAATCATAATAGCTGATCCACATACAGCTTTAAGGTTCCCAAAGCACTTTTCAAGCATCATCTCCACCCTGGAAGGAAGGTATGTTATTATCTCCATTTTACAGCTGAGAAACTGCCCCTCAGGGATGTTAAGTGACTAGTCCAGGGTCACACAACAAAAATGGTATAAAAAACAGAAGACCACTCAGAAGCCCTGCATTTATCTACTGTAGAGAATAGAAAGCAAATTTTTCTTTTTAAGGAGAGACTTGGAAAGAAGGTGCTCTGCACATCAGGGAAACTGAGTCTGACTATACAATAACAAAGGAAATACGAGCTAACTAATGTAAGAATTGTCACAGAATCATCTCTGTGAGGGAAGACTCCCCACTAGTTACAGCAAAAGTCAAAATCACCATCAAATTGGAAGAATGGCACAGCTGGGAAGATAGTGCCATTACAATGACAGAATTTGAGAGTTGGGTGGGACCTCCTCAGTGCCCATCTAGTCCGACTCATACATAAAGGAATCCCACCCATAGAACACCAACAAATGACTGTCCAGCCTGTCCTTGAGGACTCCTGAGGACGGAGGTGAACCCATCTTCTAGGCAGCCTGTTCCACATCAGATCAGCTTTGCAACTTCCTTCAACCAGTCCCCATATGTCAATCTGGCCTGAGCCATCAATGATGAAAAATGAGAAATGAAAAAAGGCAAAGGTATTGACTGACCATGATGATCACCACTTCTTGCAGAACATTAGCCAATGAAAAACAGTTGCCACAGTGAGGAGCCCAAATGACCCAGAAACTGCCTTAGCCAGCAAATATTTGATCCCCTTGTGAAATAGAAAGTCAGCTCAGCAGGCCAACTTCTTTGTAAAACATTACAAAGGTTTGAGGACGTGTCTCTGGAGAGGAAGGCTCCACTTAGGGGCTTTATCTGGGATATATTGGGACACTCTCGGAATAGTCTGTGACAATGTGGAGGAAGCCTCCACCTAGAATTCCCATTCCTAGATGCCCTGGTTTGCAGGGATGCATTCGAGAAAAATCAGCATTTTGTTCTCTGTTTTCACACTGCCATTAGACGGTGTTCTCTGGAGCATTTCCTTCACAAGCCAGACCAGTTCCTTTGAGATCCCTTAGGTTTGTATAAAAATGCTTAGGTCTCCGCATCTGTTGCATTATTGCACCCACTTGGTCAAGATTACTCAGCAACTTATCTCACATTGCTGCCAATATGAGCAGTGTGGATTCTGCATTCCCAAATTACAGGTGGCTGGCGTTTCACCTAGAGCACATTCCAATTGCCCCTAAAGGTTATTTATTCTTTTAAGAAGACTTAGTTTGCTTGCCCTATTATGAGAGACATATGGACTACAGGCCCGTAGAATAGATTTTTCTGCCAGCAGAGTAATCAGCTACAACGTCTTAACCCTTTGGGGAGCCACACACAAGTTCAGGGTCTACCTGACCCTGTCTTCTCTCCTTTTGAACTGAACCTGTTCATCTCATTGTTAGAGGGGTTTGTAACTCCATTTGGCTTGCCCTGGGTGTTGATGGGGATCCTTCGGAGTAATTTTGGGTGCCTGATGTTGCAGGAACCCAGAGGTATTCTCTATGATTAAACCCAATTTGTGAGTATGGATTCAGAACAGTAGTGGAAGGGGCATTAGGGAAAGAGGGGGGCAGTGAGTGCCCCTCCTTGGACTCAGTGCTGGTTTGTTGTGATCCTTTATACCTGACTGAACCCAGCAGAGAGGCCCCTCATCGGAAGAGAGAGGGTGAATGCCCTACCCACCCCCCATGTCAGTGAGTCACCCCGAGCCAAATAAGTGTGTTTTCTCATCTAAAGGATATGTTGACCCCAGGTCCTTAACCTCATGGGGAGAGACCACATGTTTTGGGAACCTTAGAGGGGCCAGATTTTCCCTCTGTGAAGGGAGGATTGATTTTCTTTCTTATTTTTTTCTTTTATTGATTGCTTTCAGGTTGAGGAAGGCCTTTGCAAGCACAGAAGGAATTGTCTAAGTGCTAGGCAAGTAGTAACCTCTGCTGAGTTTTGTAAAATGTTCTGTGTTGAATCTAACTCTGTTTTA